TTGATTTATGAATTTTTTTTGCATCATGGTTGACCTGATATATTTTTCAGAACTCCAAGAAAAATAAAGTAAGAGAGAGTCAAAATTATACGGCATAATACAATCCAAAAGATTCCCACAAGGTAGTATATGGAAATCAGATAGCTCTGAATGTGAAGAATGCTGAGTGTTTCCTCATAAGGCAATGATGATCACTAATCTACTAAAACATCATTGACGAATTGTCACAAGGGCAGATGGAAAAAGACTTCCTGGGGCTGTTCTCTAGATTCAAAAGCCTTTCGAATGTATCCTATTGCTACAACAGACATTTATGAATAGGCTGCTATCAAAAAGCTACATTCTCAGAAGCCAAAATCAACATTCATATGTGAAAACACACCCAGAGCAGAGTGACCTTTTCTTACTGTGTGAGATTATCGGTGGATATAAATATAGCACGCTAAAAAACATACGTGCTTGGGTCGTCAATGAGCTTATTCATTTATAAAACCTCTGTGACTGGTTCTTCTTTTTGACTTCCAAGACCCAATTCCAATGTGTGTGTGGGGGGGGGGGGCATACCACCAAGCAATTCTCAAATACAAGCAGGGTGTCTGAGAATTTAACTCAATTCTGACACCATCTACTGGGAGCTAGCATCAGATTCCACAGATTAAGGACTCAGTGTTACAAGACTGCTCTCCATCACCCTCTTCAGAGGCTAGATCCAAGCCCCAGGCTGTTACCTGCGCTTCTTCTTCTTTTTTTTTTTAAATTGCGTTATGTTAGTCACCATACAGTACACCGTTAGTTTTTGATATAGTGTTCCATGATTCATTATTTGCTGAGATGCCCTTCAACAGATGAATGGATAAAGAAGATGTGGTTCATATACACAATGGAATATTACTCAGCCCTCAGAAAGGATGAATACCCAACTTTTGCATCGACATGGATGTTACCTGTACTTCTGACCCATGGGCTATATATTGAAGATTCCAACAACCTGCTTCTTAGGTTATTTTAATGTCCTAGCACGGTTCATAGAACTCAGAGAAACACTTATGTTTGCCATTAAAGGGTATGATAAAGGCTATGAATTAGCAGTCAGATGAGGATACATCAGGTGAGGTCTGGCGAAGGGATGCAGGGCTTCCCCTGCCCTCTCCAGGGCACCACTCACCCCAATCTCCTGGTGTTCGCCAACCTTAATCTCCCCAAATTCAGTCCTTCTGGGCCTTTCTGGAGGCTTCATTGAAAAGTCAGGATTGTTTAAGCCTTTGGCCACTGACTGATTCAATCTCTAGCCCCTCTCCCCTCCATGGTTCTAACCTTCATCTCACAGGGTTAGTCTTCCAGTAAATCAGCCTCTATCCTCTGGTGGGATCCAAAAGTCACCTCCATTAACATAACAAAAGACAACTTTATGGGCCTAACACTTAAGAAGTTCCAATAGTTTGGGGAGCTATGGGCCACAAACCATGTATCAAGACCAAATACACATGAGAAATATATTTTGGTCATCTGAATGACCAAATATATTTTCTTATGAGTCATAACATCACAGTACTACTGGGTAAAAACAACATACTTTTCTTTACGGTAACCATGTTAACAGTTTGGGTATTCTTATTTAATTCAAACAACTCCGCATATTCACCTTTTGTAGACTGTCTGTAAGCATGTTACTGCCAAATGGGGCTGGCTTGGCCTTCTAATGCAACACCTTTGACAACTGCAGAAAAGTCACTGCTGCTTCAATCTCTGGCAGCCAATCAATTGACTAGGAGAATTAAAAGGCCCTGGGAAAGGTTTTAAAGCTTAGGTTGTATAGACAGTATTGTAAAAAAACTAAATAGCTGAGCAATTTAATTTTCCAACCTCAACTCATGTTTTCTAAGTAGGAGCCACATTTCATAGTGTCGCCAGGGAGACCACAAGACCTGACTTGCTAACCTCTGTCCCACACGTTTCCTTAGGCTCTTCCTTCTAGCTCATCTCTTAACTCTGGCGAATGGGAAGTGGAACTGACCTTGAAATGGTAGTAGTGACCGCCCTGACAGGACCTCCAGCCAGCCCACACCACCCAGACCAGTTTGAACTTAACCCGTGACTTGTGCTGGCACAGACGGATCATGGAGTGACCTCTAAAGTGACAGACAACAAACTTTCCCTCCTTATAATACTAAAATCCCCGCCTAAGGAGGAGCAGAAGCCTCATTTACATAACATACTGATGTGGGAAACAAAGGCAAAAGAAATGTAACTTAAAATCTCCTTACAGCTGGCAGCCCACTGATAGAGAACCTGACACCCGCAGAGTGTGTGCCCTTCCTCCAGGAACTTGTGGTCGCCTTAGTGCCTTCATGTTTAAAAGCGACCTCCTCTCAGCAGCAGCGGGCCCCTCCAAGTCCCGAACGCCTTGCTTCCCGATTCCCTGGGGACTTGCACTGGCTCTAAACGCCACAAATCAAAACGGAGACCATCAGTCACCGCTCACAGTCCCGGGGCAGCTCTTTCGGCCCACAGGTCCTGTCCCATGAGTGGGGAGGGGGTGAAGGCCTAGGCAGGAGATAGAGGAGGCTCCTGACTCCCCTGACTGGGGCCCGGAACTATTCCTGGCCAAGTGGAGACAAGAGAGACAAGGGAACCAACCAGGACGGCACAAGAATCTCAAGGCCACAGGCTTCCCAGTCCGTTCTCAATAAAAGAGCGCCCCTTGAAGCCCTCAGGGGCAACCCATTCCGGACCCCTCTCACCCTAGAGAGCTTTTTCTTTCCGTTCAATTCTCACCTTCACCTCATAAACTTTCCTGCACTTCACCCTTCTGTGTCTGTGAGACTCATTCTTCCACTCCATGAGACAAGAACCCCGTGATCCTGTGACAATGCTATGTATAGGTCATGTTTCCTTAATGGGTATGGGTGACCTTATGCCCACCTCTACATACAATGACAAGGCTTCTCTATCTAAATATTCATCCTAACCCTAAATAAAAGGAACCCATTCATCCTTGCTCCGGAGTCACAGCTTTGGAAATCACTCCCTGTGATCTCCGTTTTTGTTACAAAGCAAGTTTTCTTTGTATGACAGCTCAGCTGGTTGCAGTTTCCAACTCACCAAGGAGTGAACTCACGTCAGTCTGGTTACAATAGGAGCCTGAAAAATCTCAAATACTGATTGCAGTGCATTTCCTCCTGAATGAAATGAGTCCAGGAGATGGTTTTTCATACTTAAGAAGTACAGTAATCAAAGACATTAAAAAAAAAACCCAGCATATTTTTAAAGAAAAATTTGTTTGGAAAACTTTTTGATGGAATTGTCAAAGCACCTTCTTTCTCTCGGCTGTGAAAGTTTCATCTCCAATTTTATTACCTCAAAGCACAGACACAGAAAGAAACTGTTCCTGTTTTCAAATATATTTTTTGAAGGAAATTTCCAAGTTTCTATTGTCACATGAAAAAACGAGAGGAGGTAATGATTGATAAAAAGATGTGGCATAGGGAAAAGCCCACAAAGAATAAAAATAATACAAATGTAAGAAAACAAGCATAAAGATAGAAACTGGAAGAAGAGGGACTCAGAAAGGCTTCTAATTACAGAGGAAAAAAAGGTAGAAGAGAAAGGGAGATTGATTTAGTAAAACCATGATAGACAGCAAAAAATAAAAAGCGCTTCAAAGTGCACTACACTGGGAATTGGTAAAATTGGGTTCTAATTTAAACTGTGCATTTAAGCAAACTTAGACTTTCACAGCTCCCCTCTGTAAAATGAGGGAATATACATGGTTAGGTCTCCTTTGCACCTCAGACATGAAAACTCTAAACAAAACTGTTCTAGCATCCAAAGTTTAGCTCTCCAAGTTTTCAAATGCAGTACTGTAGATTAGGAAAATTTATTTTTGAATAAAAATGTGTACCTATCTACCACTTTCTTAGTCTGTATTTCAAATGCAAACTATTTTGAGAGAATTCTGTTTTGAAAAATGTAAACATCTAGAGGGTTTTTCTTCTGTGGTGACAAATGAAAAAATTTTTTTACTTTTGGTTAATCTTTCTTATGACATATACACATCATTTTAATCAGAATTAAAGAGAAAGCCTGACCTGTGCCCTATAGAGGTAAGGCTTCAACCAGCAGATACCATAGCCCCAAGGCCTGTACCACATTATAAAGGGCCGAGGCCTCTGCCTCACTCTATTCCAACTCACAGGGGAAGAGTTACACAAAACAAAACTTCCACTTACCCCAATGACTTGCTAAGCATCTGAAATTTAAATCTAATTTTGAATTATATGTAAAATAGATTCCCCAATAAGTCTTTCATATCAGCAAACTGAACAAATTGTGATCCTATCACATTGTCTTTCCTGTTCCACATACTTCTTTCCAGCTGCTCTTATTGGTGTCGGGACCCTCAGCAAAATTCAGGAGCCCTGAGATTCCAGAAGAGGTATTCTTTGGCTTGGCCGTTGATTTCACTGAAGGTGGAGTCATCTCCAGAACCACTCTCCCCAGGGCCTGCTCGCTGTTCCAGAGTTGGCATTCTTCCTCAGGTAGGGTGTCAGCGCCTCAGGAGCATTTAGGCCATCCTCACGTAAGAATGGCGAGTGAGACCTCAGCCCCTGTGACGGTGGTAAAGCTCAGATGGGAGAGCTCCGCTTCCCAATGGAGACAGCTGGTGGCTGAGTTCCAGCTCTGGCCTCCACGCCCTTGGGGACGACACTCAAGGTCTTTCCTCCGAGGTGCCGGGAAGGGAGCACTTCCCCTGGAAGATGAAAGAAAAATGGCGACTGTGCTTTTCCTTCCTGATCTCAGAAGGGAGACTCCTGTTCAGGAGAGATTGACGTTAATGCTTCTGTGGGAATCCTTGGGACAGTCAGGAAGCTCTCCACAGAGGGAACACAACTGCTCTCCAAACAGCCCCTGAATGACCCTCCTTCAGAGCCTCTTCCTGCGTTTCCGGTCAGCCTCCGTGAACACTCTGGCTCTGCCAGAGTAGGTTTGCCACAGTCACCATGGATGAGGGTGTGGTGGGCGCGGGGTGGAGGGCATTCTCCGATTGCAAGGAGAAAAGTGTGTGGGGGTCGGAGACGTTAGAAACTGTACGTGGACAGTATCTGGCGATAATTTCTACAAACCAGATCAGGACTCCACGTTTTGGTCAGAATCAAAGATTGCGAAATTTTTATTGACACAATCGTGCCTCTCTTTCCCTTAACCTCCATGCAACCCATCACGAGTTTCTGTCCTATTAAACTCTAAAATTCCGTCCAAATCCATTGGCTGCGGCAGGTCTCCATGGCTACTGTTGTGGGCGAAGCCCCCATCATCTCCCACCTCCACTTCAGCAAAGGTTGCCTCCCTGCTGCCTTGGCCTCCACCCTGGCCCTGGGAAATCCTTTCTCTTCTCAGCAACCAGTGATCCTTTTAAAAAATCCAACCCCTGGTTGCTGCTTTTTTAAATCATCTATCAGAGTTCATTGTGATATAAAGTTGTGTGTATTTTAACACAGAGAGTCCTATCTCTACCACGCAAAGGTCATACATAACCCTTCTGTGGGCTTAGAATTCTCCTGTGCATCCCCTTTGTAGTCAATCAACACTTCTCAGGCAAGCTTGTAGAAGTAATGATCTGTTTTCTGTATCTATCCTTTCTCCTTTTCCAGAACAGCATGTGAATAGCTTCATACAATGATGTCACTAAAATGGTTCTACCATTTTTTACTAAAACAAGCAAAGGAGAGTTCATGTTGTTCCACATCCTTGTCAGCATTTGGTGCTTTCAGTGGCTTTGTTTTTAGTCAAATGAATATGTGTGGTGGTATCTCATTATTATTTTACTTTGTAATTCCCTGATGACATAGGATTTTCAGCATCTTTTCATATTCTTATTTGCATTCTCTATGTATTCTTTGCTGGGATGTCTTTTTGGATCTTTGGTCCATTTTAAAATTGGGTTGTTTATTTTGTTATTGTTGAGTTTTGAGGGTTCTGTGTATATTTTGTAGACATGTCCTTAATCAGATATTTGTTTTACAAAGCTTTAATCTCTGTTTCTACTTTGTCCTTTCAGTCTCTTAACAGTGGATTTTACAGAGCAGAACTTTTACATTTTAATGATGCTCAACTTATCAATCTTTTTTTTTATGGGTGCTGCTCTTGGGGTTGTATCCAAAAAGTCATCACCAAAACCAACGTCACTTATGCTTTCTCTTATGTTATCTTTTGCGTTTTACATTTAAGTCTGTGATCTATTTTTCATTAATTTTTGTGAAGTGTGTAAGGTCTGTGTCTTTTTTTTTTTGTTTTGTATGTGGATGTCCAGTTGTTCCAGCACCACTCGTTCATGTATTGAAAACGCCATTCTTTCTTAATTGAAATGCCTTTGCTCTTTTGTCAAAGGTCAGTTGACTACATCTGTGTAGGTCTATTTCTGGGTTCTCAACTGAGTTTCTTCGATTTGTCTATTCTTTCATCAATATCACACTGTCTTGATACTGTAATTTTAGATTATGTCTTCAAGTTGATTAGTGTCAGTTTGCTGACTTTGTTCTTCTCCTTCAATAATGTGCGGACATATCTGAGTCTTTTGGCTATCCACATAAACTTTAGAATCAGTCAGGAGCTATCCACAAAATAACTTGTCAGGATTTGGATTGAGATTGCATAGAATTTATAGATCAAGCTAGGAAGAACTGATATTTTAACAATATTGAGTCTTTCTTCCATGGACATGAAATATTGTTCCATTTATTTAGATTTCCTTTGTCATAGTTTTATGGCTGTCTTCACATAGATCTTGTAATTATTTTGTTAGGTTTCTAAACAATTTTTAATTTAGAACTAAAATAAAATGAAAAGAACCACACTGCCCAATTTTAAGATTCACTATAATGGTACAGTAACCAAGACAGAGTGCTATTGGTTACGGATAGACATATATTTTATTGGAAAAGAACAGAGAGTCTGGAAGAAAACTCCAATATGGCCCATGGAATTTTTACAAAGGTCTAAAGACAATTTGAGAAAAGTTACTGTTTTGAATAAATGATACTAGAGCAATGAAACATCTATATGCCAAAAAATCTATCCAAATCTTACCTTTTATATAAAAATATGTGTAAAATGGATCATCAAGCCAGAAGGTAAATTGAAAGTTATAAAATCTTTAAAAGAAACATGGGCAGAAATTTTACGAAGTGGGGTTAAGGCAATGATGTTTTAAACGTGACATCAAGGATTTTTCATAAAGAAAAAAAATATATTAGGCTTCCTCAATGTTAAAAAAAAATTATTTTCCAGGACTGACAGCAAAGAAAGGCTGGATTCTGTGAGGTCCCATGTGTATTAGGGTGGGAGGTTCCCTCAGTTCTCCTCAAGGTCATGGTATTTACTCCTGACAGAAACTGCATCCCTTCTTTCCTGTTGACCTGAGGGTGACCCCCCCCCCCAGGCCAAGGTTACCATCTCCCTGAGACACCAGTAAAGGAAGTCAAAGGGATAAAGAGGGTTGTCTCTGCCTGCTATCCAAGAATGGGGTCTCTCAGGACTGACAGTAGGGACAGGTGTCTTTGAGGTTCTATCTGTCTGTAGTGAGAGGTTCTCTCTGCCCTTCTAGGTCCTCACCTTAATGCATGGCAGAGTCTAGTACTCTTAAACTCTGCTGAACTGAGGCCTTTTCCGTTAGACAAAAAGCTGCACCTCCCTGAGGCTCCCAAGATAGAAGTCCATAAACACCACCCCCAGGTGACAAGGCCTGGGTCTTCCCAGAGCTGATAGCAGGGACAAGGTGGGACTGGGAAGGATTGAGGGGAACTTTCAATCCCTGGTGAAAGTTCCCCTCAATCCTTCCTTTGTGTATACCCCTTGATGATTGCCCAGAATCAGAAAAAAAAAAAAGGGAATTCTTTTAAAATCTAAGATTTCTTAAAAGAAAATGAACGGGGAAATCTTGTGACCTAGAATTAGGCAAAGGTATCTCAAAAATGACACCAAAATCTTGATTCAAAAAGAAAGAATGCTTTATCAGACATCCTCAATATTACAAAAAAAAAAAAAAATCACTCTGAGAGAGACACTCTTAACAACAGAAAAAGGCAAGCTACAGACTGAAAAAGAAATTGCAAATCATACATACAACAATAGACCTTTATCCAGAATACATAAAGGGCTCTTGAAATTCAAAAATTAGAAAACAATCCAATTTTTTTAATGGGCAAAATACATCAATGGATACTTCACTAAAACTGACATACAGTTTTAAATAAGCACATGAAAAGATCTCCTCCATCATTAGCCACTAGAGAAAAGCAAATTAAAAGCTCAGTAGGATGCAACATGCTTGTGAGAATTGTTGAAAATACACTGACACTAAGTGTTAGCACGGCTGAGAACAAGTCGAATGTTCATGCATCACCCTTGTGAATTTAAAATTGCAGAGTCGCTGTGGGAAACGACTTGGTACCTTCTAACAAATGTACACTTAACTATTTGATTCAGCAGCCCCACTCCTGGGAGAAATAAAAAATGTACATTCACACAAAAACACAGGAATGTTTATAGTATCTCTTTTCATATTTGCCAAAAGCTGCAAACAACTCAAATGTCCTTCCATGGCTGAGGGGCTTAACAAGTTGAGGCACATCCATACAATGCAATATTACAGACCAACAACGAGGAATAAAATATTGGCAAGCACAGCAATTTGGTGAAGTCCCTGAGCCTCACCTTTGGAGTCGATCACCCACTCTGACCCCAGTTTCTGGAAACTAGGATTTGTTTTCTGTCTATCTTCTTACTTTTTCCAGAATGTCATATAAATGCTGCCTTCTTAACTTCACACAGAATGTATTTTGAACAATTTATTTCATAGCTTATTAAAATCGGGTCTAAGCAGAATATTTCTTCTCTTATGTATGTGTCACTTTCATAAGGCAATGTCTCCACATTATTTACCTGCATGGATATAAAATGTAAAGTCAAGCAATCAGAAGAGCTTCATAGTGTTGTCCTGTACTACACATCAGTCATATAATCTTAGTATATAAATTAATTTAATAAAACAATAAGATTTTATCTGTATTTATCTATTGGTTGTATTTTGAGACTATGTTACTGGTATGTTCTTAGCAGCCAGGAATCCTAATATTTGTCTTGAAATTTTAGAAAATCTGGCTTTGATTAAGATTTTCCCCAATTGTGTAGTTTTCTCTTGCATATTCTATTATCTATTTCATGCAATACTGAATTGTTAAACATATCTCATTGCTAGAATAACGTATCATTTTTAAGACATTATTAAAAATACATCTTACATGAAAAAAGTGGCTGTATATTTTTCATTTCAACCAGCAGTGAATGAGAGATCCTTTAGCTCTACATCCTCCCCAACATTTGATATTTTCAGATTTTTGTATTTTAGCTATTGCAATTAGTTTGCAGCTGAATCTCACTGAAGTTTCATTTGCATTTCCCTAATGACAAATGATGCTGAGCATCATTTCGAATGTTTTTCTGATCTGTATATCCTCTGTGGTGAAGTGTCTTTTCAAATCATCTACATATTTTTTTTAATTAATGGATCTGGTTCTTCAGAGTTTTTTTAGGTTTACAAAAACTTGATGAGAAATTACTGAGGGTTCCCACATACCTGCTTCCATCCCCCATGTTTTCCCCTGTTATTAACATCTAGTAGTATTATAATACACATGTTAAATTTGGTGAACCCATATTGATACATTATTATCCTCAATTAAAGTCCCCGTTTTACATCAGGGTTGACTCTTTGTGTTGTATGTTCTACAGGACTTGACAGATACATAATGTAACTTATCCACCACTATGGTATCATACAGAATAGGTTCACCATCCTAAAACTCCTGTGTGCTCCACATTTTTGCCCTCCACCCCTCCCCCACCGAAGCTCTGGTAACCACTGATCCTTTTACTGTCTCCACAGCTGGACCTGGAAACGTATCACATATATCACAAGGTTGGGGGGATACAGTATATAGCCTTTCTTCACATTAAAGAAAACTTTTTATTTATGAAAACAGACAAAATAGAGATAGTAGTAGTGAACCCACATATACCCATTACTCAG